TGATATCCTATCTGGCGCTCGGCGCCCAGACTACAGATGGCATACCCTATCTAGCTTAGACTACAATGTCGAATGATGACGTCAACAACTTTCCCGAAGTACGAGCGTACAACGACCAATGTCGCACGCTTCCAGCACCAGGTATGTCTCTCGCCTCACTCACAACCTCGTTCCCCAACACACAGATGCCACTTGCACCCAAGGACCACCCTGCTCCACACCCAGCTTACAGCAGCGCAGCTCGGCTATGGCTGCCTGCTCCTTCCCTGCTTGCCCATGAGCGCGTGAGCGCTGGCCAGCAAATAGCATAGCAGCGCTTGCGCAGCATGCAGCCAGCACCCGAATGACCAAAGTGGAGGCAGGCCCTTTGCTATATCGAAGTGGCCTGCCTGCGTTCAGTCCCAGGAAGCTTCCAGTAGGCCCCGGTAGCCCGAGGCCCAGCACGAACGAGAACAGGCCTTGGGCCTGAGGTGGTTGCATGCACCCAACTGCCTTTGGCCTGTGTTTGGCCCAATACCCGTATCCAGCCCAGGGCCTGCTTTCCATACATTCACACAGGCGGCCCAGGGCCTGCCCGGCCTGGGTTCTCTTAACCAACTGGCGCTGCGCAACTGCCTGAATTTCCTAAGTTGCGCAGTGGCCGAAATAGGGCCCAAAGGGCCTCGTCGAGCCTGCCTGCACTTAGGGCAGCCGACTTGCTCTAAAAAGGGGCCGAACGGGGCTCATAGAGGCAGTGGCCTCGCATTCCCTCCTCCTTAGCTTCAACACTGAATCAACAGTCCTCGGAGAAGCTCAGTCTTCGACCATCGGGCGCTTTCCTTTCTGCAGAGATTTCTCGTAATGAGCCACAACTTGAGGAGCGGTCTGCATAAGTTCTTCCCTGGTGAACCAGCGGTCCTCCTTAGGATCAGTATGATGTCGGAACCGAAAGCGATACTGCAGCTTCGGTTTCGGAGGACGTCCCCTGCCTGTTGGTCTTGGAACTGGCAGCTCTCTATGGTCCACGATATCATCGATATCCACCTTTCCATCCATGGTTGGGGGCAGCATTGAACGACGAGATGGAAACTGATCTGTTTCTTTGAAAGGTGCAAGCTTGGAGGCGTGAAAGACAGGGTAAGTACGGAGATGACCAGGGATCCGGATGACATAAGATGGCCCATCTGGATCAGTCCCGACAATATCTAAGACTTCCCATGGCCCAAAGTATTGTGGCATGAGTTTGCGGGAAATCCCGTACTCCTGTCCCAGTTTTGAGGATCTTACCCAGACTCTGTCCCCAACCTGAAACGTAGAAGGTCGGCGGTGTTTATTCTCATACTCGATCATTGCTGCCTGTGCCTTCTGCATCTGTTCTACCGCCTGCTGCATCTTCTGTTCATACCTGTAGGCAAACTCTAAAGTACCTGGTGCAGTAGTTGACTGATTCTCAGGAAGGAGAAAGTCTAAGGGTAATCCAGGCTTGAAAGTCAATAGCAAACTGTTTGGGCTCACCCCGGTGGCGCTGTGTACAGCGTTGTTGTACAGACTGGCGATGAGAGCAAGCTTCTCATCCCAGTCCACCTGGTTGGGCTTGATGTAATGCCTCAACAGGTGTTGTACAGCATGATTCAGTTGCTCGGCCTGACCGTTGGCCTCTGGGTGATTTCCAGAAGTCATCTGCAACTGGGTTCCCTGCTCTGCAGCGGCGGCCTTCCACAATTTGCTAGTGAAGCGGACATCTCTGTCGCTCACTATGGATTTGGGCAATCCAAAATCCCTGACCCAGTTCTCTTTGAACAATCTTATTACGTACTCGGTCTTCGCAGTCTCCGGCATGGCTATTAATCTAGCATACTTACTAAATCTATCCACAATGACGAAAATGTGTCTCATCCGACTCTTGCTGATAACCAGCGTATCCATGAAGTCCATGGACAAACTCTCACCAGGCCTTTCCAGAATCGGAAGGGGCTTCAGGAGCCCAAGAGGAGCCTGAGTACGTGGCTTGCCTCTCTGACAGACTTGACAAGTCTCCACGTACAGTTGGGCATCTCTCATCATTGTGGGCCACCAGAACCGCTGCAGCAGCTTAGCTGCGGTCTTCTTGTACCCAAAATGGCCTGTGGCATCATGACATTCACCTAAAAATCAACTACGCAAAGACTCCCTATTAGGAACACACAAACGTTTATTCCCTGCCTTCTCAAGGAACAGCAGGCCGTTGACCAACTCAAACTCGACAGAAGTTCCTTTGTCCTTCGCCTCGAGTCTGCGTATGATCTCGGCCATAAACGGGTCCTCGTGATAGGCTTCCACCAAAGACTGAGTAACATTGTCTTGTAATGACCCGCCAAAAACACAGACTGAGAACACTGCTGATTTTTGGGATTTGTCACTGGAATGAATGCCTTGCTGTGATCCCCGCATTCTGCTGTGGTTCCAAGTCTGTGTGTGTGCGTGTCTGCTGGTTTGCATGTCTGTCTGAGTGCTTGCCGGTTGAGTGTGTGTGCGTGCCTGCTGGTTTGCATGCCTGTCTGAGTGCTTGCCGGTCGGGTATGTGTGTGTGACCGGCAAGGGTACTTGTTGGTTGCAAGGCCCCATCGGGCCGGTACTTACCTGTGGTCGTGACTGTGAGGGTTGCAGGGGGGTAAACACGCCGATAGCGGGGGGTAGGCCCACGACACTTAGAGCAGCTGGGGAAAAACACTCAAGTAGCAGGTAGGCAGAGGAGAAGAAGACAAAAAGTTGGCATTTTTAGAGGCCCAGTAGCGGTAGGTTAGAAGTAGGCCGGTACCAGTCAAAGTAGCCCGGGTCTAGGGCTTGTCCGGAGGATAGCAGAGCCTGCAATGATGTTTCCCTCCGAAAGGGAGGAGGTACCGGTTGCTGGGAGGCCGCTCGGCCTAGGAAGTCACCGCCCAGGAGGCCGGTAGGCCACTATATCTTCAGGAAGAGCGGAGAGCTCTTCCTCATTTGCGGTGTGCAAGGATTGGCGACATGCTGCTGGAGCACAGCGCTGGAGGTACAGCGCTGCTAGGAGGGAGAAGGGTCGCTGGGAGCTCAGCCTGGCTATGGCGAGCAAGCCAGTTTGAGAGGGAGGAAGAAGGGGACATGGAAGGAGAGTGGCAGGGCACTTACCTGGCTATGGTAGACACCATCTTCATCACCTGGTTGGGCACTGCATCTGGAAGGCCCCGGTTGGGGTAGTGCGGCACCTGGGGAAGCTCGAGGCAGAGGCAGGCATAGCGGACCAAGCCAGCAGCGGCATAGCTGCTTTGAGTGGTCCTTTGGGCATCAGGGCCAGACCCTCATTAGTCCGCCATAGGCTATGCTTGAGAGAGGAGGCTGAAGGAGGGAAGCCATAGCTATGGTGGACTAGTTGTTGTTATTGTTGTTGTTGAGTTGAGTCAGCAGTAAGAGGGAACTTCGGATATTTATTCTGGTTCACCCATTCATTGTTATTATTATTATTGAGAGAAGAATAAGATTGGTGAAGAGAAGGAGGAGGAGGAAGGTGGAGAGAGAAGGGGGAATTGTCATTGGTCTTGCTGGTGTTCTTCTTCTTCTTCTTCTTCTTCTTCTTCTTCTTCTTCTTCTTCTCCTTCTTCTTTACCTCTCCTTTGGTCTTTATCTCTTTGCAAGTGCTTTCATTTCTTTCGCAATTGGGTGGCATTGTCTTTCATTGTGAATTTGCACTTGGGAAATGACCAGGATCGTAACAATTGGTATCAGAGCGGACTTACTTGCTGGCGAGAGGTGTTAGTCACCCTAACCCTAATTCCGAATTAGGTTAGGGCTAACCTAATCTCGGATTAGGGTTGGAAGTTACGGTTAAGTGGGGCAGCGAGGTATGGGGATGCTGCCCCCACCTGGTTAGGTCATGTAGGGTCGACATTGGACCCAACCAGGTTGCTTGAGTGAATGYATGGGGTGGCGAGACACAAAGGAGGCTGTTTGGAGTAAGCGAGAGGGAGTAGAGAGTGAGAGGTACTCGCACCTGGAATCTGGACTTCAGGAAGACATTGAGTGACTTTTGGGCTTCCCCTCAAGAGGGAGACTTGATCGGAGGCTGCCATATGTGCATCGGATTGCTGCAAGTTGCTACTTTGGTCTTCAGGCATCGACGGGGGATCCGGCTTTGCAACAGGGGTGTAGGAAGGCCCTCTTAGTCATGCTAGGACACTTCGTGTAGTGGTAGCTAGGGGTCAGGAGGACTTATATGAGAGGGGAGTGACTCGTTATCCATCTTTGGAGGCCGGGCCTCACAGGTAAGTGCCATGTGACCTGGGTAAGCCAGTGGGAGGTTGCTTGGTGCTTCATGGCCTGTTGGGGGTGTGCTGGGTTCTCTTCCTCTTCTCTGCGGTCTTGGTTGTGTGTGTGAGCATGTGGATTGCTTTCTCACCTGATGGATGGATGGATGATGTATCTGTGCTAAATGACATATCTTTCTACGATGCATTGTCTTTTCAATTCTGAACGGCTGTAGGGGCGAGTTCTTGCTGAAAGTTGTCTTTTCCTTTTCAGTACGGTAGAAACAGTTTGGGACTGACTTGGTACCCCTGTCTCGTTAGACCTGGTCCACGACCTACTTGGGACCTTTTGGGACCAGTGGGACCAGGCCCAATGGGACAGGACCTTTCGGGCCCAGATCTGCTGCCGCTAGTGCAATTCTTTGCTGTGCTGAATCTGGGGGACATACGGACAGCAAGGGCATTCCTTTCAAGGGGATCTTGACGGGTCTTACCGCATGTGATCACATACTGCCCCTCGTCTGACTCGACGACCGTCTGCACCCCTCGAAATCTCCATTCCTGCAGATTGGTCTTCTTCGTCTGATTTATTGTGATGCATGTCCCCTGTCAGGTTAGACAAGAGGGGATCTCCAACTGATCTGATCGGGCCCGTTCTATAAATCAGACCTCTCTGTTGTTTTATTCTTTTTATTAATTTATTTTATTTATTTGTTCTTCTGCTGCGTGCCACGCTTAAGTCCAAATGATTCGCCGCTCCGGCTAGGAGTTCTAACTTCTTCTCTGAGTGGTTTTCTGTTTGTTTCTTTCACCTGAACTATCTATGTCCAGTGTCGAGACGCGTGCGCAGACAACGAGAAGAGAAGAAAGGGAGAGAGAAGGTGTGCTGTTTGAGAGTGTGAGGAGGGGCAAGAGGAGTGTTCGTCCAAACGTAAGGAGAGAGCGGACCACTCTTGAGAGATCTACTGACACCCCTTCCTCCGGCATGGCAGACATCACATCTGTCCAATGGCAGACCATGCTGGACACAGCAGACGAGAGCCAGAAACCGTTTTTTCAAAAGTTGTATGATAACGCCGTACAGAAGGAAAGGGAGGCAGAGGCAGCAGCCAGAGCTATTAGCATAGCTGCCCAGGAGGCCCTCCTACAGGTCCCGGAAGCCAATGCTGACCGGTTCCAGGAGAGGCTAGCTGTTGCCGTAGCAGCCTTGGTCCAGCTGCGGAACTTGGAAGACCTTGAGTCCCGTGTGGCAGCACTTGAGCAGCGGAACCAAGAGCTGCAGGCTAAGGTAATTAGCCTTGAACAGTCCCAATTGTCTGCCCCCCGCCCTCCTAACCCTCGGTCTGCTATAGTCCCGGTCTCTCAATCAAACACAACCCTCATAGCAAGATCAAGTGGAACCATGGCAAGCGCAGGAACCGGTGCCAGCTCCTCGAGCGGCAGCGCCGACAGTTCTGCGCTGGCCATGGTCCCAAATGTAGGGACTTCAGCCCAAAACGCCACAATCCTTATTGGCGTTCAGTACAGCGGTCCCATGGTGGACAAGCGGGTGGCTACGCTGTCGTCCAAGTACGATGGGAAGGCAGACATCACCTCTTGGATTAGATCCATGCGGTCGTACGTCGAGGTCATGCGGACACCGCAAGAGGACCGAAGTATGATCATGGGGAACAATACTGAGTCCGTCGTACGAAACCACATTGAGCTCCAAGCTGTCGCTGCAGGCTATGAACGCATAGACCTGACTGAATGGTTGAAGGTCACCCCTGTCCGCGCTCTTGAGGATCTTCTCCTTGATCGGTACCAAGATAAACATGCTGCGCTCAAGGCTAGGCTGAAGCTTGAGGCCCTTAAGGGCCAAACATGGAGGTCATCCATGCAAGCTTTGGAACAGCACTTGACTGGTTTGTTCACCACACCGGATCTGGGAATGAATGACGTGTCTTGTATGGATGTAGTCATGGGAGTGGCCCCTAAGGAATACCTCTCCCTGCTAGCTCTCAAGGACCATGCCACCTGGCGAGAGCTCGTGAAGGACCTAGTCAACCTAGAGGCCAAGGACCTCGTCAGGCGCAAGAAGGCGCCCGCTGCAAGTGGGAAACCACAACGCAAGCGGTTTGGAAGCAGCAACCAGCTTGCACTGCATGATCATCGGGAGGCTGAAGATCAGTCCTATGCGGATGATCTGTCTCTAGATGACAATCTAGAGCCGGACTCCGATACGGGCTGTTCCACATCAGCCATTGAGTGTGACAGAAATGAAGATGAAAACTAAATGCATTCAGAAAGACTGCTTCAAATAAGGGGCCTAACCGTGGTTCGGGTAAGGGAACTGTCATACACCTTCCCAAAAATGCTAAGATCCCTGAGAAACCGGAGGACGCTTCTACCAAGCCTTGGGAAGCCCTCCGCATCAGCCAAAAAGAATGGGAAAGAAGGTCCAAATTGCGCATATGCTTGCATTGTCAAAAGCCTGGGCTGTGCAGGATTGCTATCGTCTTCAGGGAAACAGGCAAGGGGCGTACAAGAGTCATCAACACTCTCTACAACAAGGGAAGTTGAGCGGTCAGTTGCAGGCCCTTCCGAGGAGCCTGGATCTGATCAGCAGCTTGCTCTTGAAGCCCGAACTAATGTTGATTCCGAGGCTGGTGCAGTCCAAGTGTTATACACTGAGCCTTGGGAGGAGTCTAAAGAAGTTGACTTCCA